GGCTCACGAAGACGTTCTCCAGGAGAGAATTGAATTAAGAGGCTCACAAAGACGTTTCCCAAGAGAGAATTGACGTGCTTCACAAAACAAACTCTAGGTATGTATCCCCTCGGGGAACACCTTTCGATCCCCTCGGGGAACCTTTCGTGATTAGAATTTCATATGCACTCTTTCTGAATGTTCAACCTAGAAAACCCAAGTATGCAAAAAAAATGTAATCGTGTCTTTTCCGGCAAAAAAGGTCATCTCAGCCAAGAAACGTCATTGTTTTGTAAAATTGTAGTTGCTGCGATCAAGCCAGTGGAGGGTATGCAACATTCATTTTTTCAGCTGCTTCCAATCCCAAATCCAGCCTCTTCTTACACCAAAAGGTAGTTTTTCACCTAAACTTAGGCTGTTTGAGTCGGTTCCGGCGAAAGTGCAAGGATACACCGTACCTTTCGATGGCAACCTGTCTACTGACACGGCTGATTCTCCCAATAATAAAAACTTTGTTGGCTGCGCAATGCCATTTAACTCACACGCAAAATTTGGACTGTTTGACAATTTCCCTCGTCTCAAAAGTGGTGTGAGAAAAATTTGGCGTTTGGGCCGAAGTCATACACAACCTGTAACGCAGTGCGAGCCCCTCTTAAGGAATCGAAACAACTACTACAGCGAGTTAGCTGTGTTTTGCTCCTGCAACTGCTGGAGAAGGGTGTCTTCCTCATCAGGGGGCTGCACAACATCATGTGTCGGGCAGGGCATGCCTTCAAAGCCCTCACCCCACACAGTGGGGCGCAGCTCGAAACCAAGGAGTTGATAGGAGCAGGCGTGGCCACATCAAAGGAAACCTGCATGTACCAATGTACCAGAGGCCCCTGAAACAGCAAAAATCTCTACATTCAAAACATCCAAACCGTGTCCGGCAATTTCCGCAATTTGTCCGGTGATTTCCGTCATTTGGACGGTAAATTCCGTAATTGTTTTTCGGCCACTCCTGCATGGAAGTTTAAATGTCCACTGAAAAAAAAACGGAAATCTCAGCGATTGCAGATCGAGCTGGGTTCTGTTTTCCCTTGCCCCAAGCGTTTCTCTATTATTCAGCTTTGAATGATCACCGCAACTTATCCGAATCTTCCAGGCAAGATGGAATCAAGGCATTCCATGACAAGCTGTTGGGATAAATTGACGCATCTCAAACACAGCATGCTCTCAGTGAAATTGGCTTCTGTCCGGTCGATTTCCAGGGCCTTCGCTTCGAAGTTCTTCGAGGGCAAAGGCAGAGCAGCTTTTCAACGTCTTGAAGTTTTGGCCACTCTAACCATGACTATATGAACTAAATAGATAGAGCTCGACCACTTTGAAATGGTTTCGATGGCAATATGGATCTCCAAAGCAATCTTTGCAAAACGAGGAAGTTGCAATTTGTGCACAGGGGGCATCATGTATCATCTAATTGCCCTCTGGTGATTGCAACATCCTCTGTGTACAGAAAGTAAGTACTGGCGCCCTGTTCATTTGCCCACAACTCCAGACTGGAGATCTCAGACAGAATGGTCCCATGATTTCTCCCAAACAAACAGCAGTAAGTATGCAAAAGGTAACAAAAGGTAACCAAAATCCAAAAAGGTAATTGTTATACAAAAAATACATGTTCAACAAAAAACTGTTTTTCTGAAACGACATTTTTTGGCATACTTTAGGTTTACTAGGAAGAGGGTTTCAACTATCCTGAAATCATGAGAGGCTCACGAAGATGCTCTCCAGAGAATTGAATTAAGAGGCTCACGAAGACGTTTCCCAAGAGAGAATTGACGTGCTTCACAAAACAAACTCTAGGTATGTATCCCCTCGCGGAACACCTTTCGTAATTAGAATTTCATATGCACTCTTTCTGAATGTTCAAGAGGGTTTCAACTATCCTGAAATCATGAGAGGCTCACGAAGACGTTCTCCAGGAGAGAATTGAATTTGGAAGGGGGGGTGGGTCTGTATTGAAAAATCAATTCCAAGGGGGGGGGTTGAATTGAATGATCAATTATTAGACCCGGACTCGCCGACACTTGCTTCGCAAGTCAAACTCAAGGTATCCCCTAAAGGGCTACCTTTCGTGACTAGTCTGATCATCCCGTCTTTGTAGCTTCTTGTTACTATATACTAGTAAGGCACTTGTTACTAGAAGCGATGCACTTGTTACTAGTAGCTTCTTGTTACTACTAGTAAGGCACTTGTTACTAGAAGCGGAAGCACTTGTTACTACTAGCTTCTTGTTACTACTAGGAAGGCACTTGTTACTAGAAGGGGAAGCACTAAAGCATCGGAATGTTCGAGTGAATGTGACCGAAAGACCCCACGTTCCTTCCACTTTCCAACAGCATCCACAGCTCCACGTCACCAACAGCGTAAAACAGCAAACCGACCCACCGGTGATCAGGGGCCAACCCGTTATCTGTCAACTTTAAATAGATCGATGTAATGTCTCTCATAGCATTTAGGTCTTTTATCGAAGTTCATGCAAGACAAAACTAGACGACGAGTGGCCCGAAAGCATTTTTCATCACGTAGGAAGTCAGAGTGTGATTTATCTGTTAATGTGTTCAGTGTGAAGTCTTAAGTCGAGTGAGTTGAGGCAGTGTGTGGGTCTCTGTGTGTGTGTATCTATGTCTGCGTGTGTATGTGTGTCCGAGTAAGTTGAGGCGGCAGTGCGTGGGTCTCGGAGTTTCGCGCGCTCGACACGCACGATCTCCGCAGAGGGTTGCACGCGCCCAGGACAAATCGCACGCTCGCCTGCATTTCGCGCACTCGACACGCGCGATCTCGGCAGAGGGTTGCGCGCGCACCGGACAGATCGCACGCTCGCCTGCATTTTCGCGCACTCGACACGCACGATCTCCGCAGAGGGTTGCGCGCCCACCGGACAAATCGCACGCTCGCCTGCATTTCGCGCACTCCACACGCACGATCTCCGCAGAGGGTTGCGCGCGCACCGGACAAATCGCATGCTCGCCTGCATTTCGCGCACTCGACACGCACGATCTCCGCAGAGGGTTGCGCGCCCACCGGACAAATCGCACGCTCGCCTGCATTTCGCGCACTCCACACGCAC